CCTCTATTGTTGAAGAAACTCGATATAAAACTGTCACTAAAGGTAATGAAAACATTCCCATAAGGTCGTATTTTGCATCACTTTTAAATAGTATGAAAATATAAGAATCAAGTCATTTTCGACGATGCCCGGCTAAAGAATACAGGCTCTGCATAATCCGTTCAAATATTTTGCCCATTTTCAAAAGTTAATCTATCCAGTTCGCACCAATGAATGTACTTTTCTGATAAAAGCAACATAAATCTAGTGAATCAAACGAAAACAAATCAAAGAAATGTGCCTGCGGCAGTTCCTACAGGATACGTGGTTGACACTTCGCCCCCCCCATATATCAGTGCACTAACTCATTCCATTTCAGGATTACAACCTGATTTTCAGATACCTAGCTGTATACTTTCTACTCGAAGGAAAGATGTCCACATAACATTGTGACGAAATTAATATAATTATTCCAGCTGTAATTAACAATCTCTAATTTTATCTCAACTGAATGAGTCCACTAGTTCAATCATATTCTATTTTGCTGTATTTCTCATCTTTACCTAAGGTAATTCGGTTGGTGGATAAAATAATGAAAACCAAAACACACCCATATTTGACAGGAGTTGATGAAGCGGGTTGTCCTCTGGTACCGTTTTGATGAATTGATGATTTCCTCCTGGTACAAGCTGTCGGTGGAACTTGGTGGTTGGTATGTACACTTTCTTGTCATCAGAACTCGAGAAGAAGTGGAAGCTTCCGTCATCGAGAGGAAGAAGACATAATCCTTCCAGATCTTGTCTGGCGTCCTCTCGCAAGATGAACTCAAGGATCAGAAGCTTCTCATCAGCATTGAGCTTGGTCAAAATTGCAGGATCTTCACGGAGGCAACGGCAAAGGCTGGAAGCAGAAACAGTGGATATCTGATCTTTGTAGAACTTCCTGATGGCCTGTCTGCACACACTGGGAACCCTTGCGTATGCAATGCCTTTGATGTTGAAGCACTTGAGGATGACCTTTTCCATATCTTTATCCACATTCAATTCGTTGAACTGGACGTCGGCGATGTTCATCCACCCATTGTTGTCGCTATGTATAATAGTTTCCTGGAAGAGAGCATTGTAGAATGGTTCCAAGAGAATGTCCCAGTTTCCACGAACCGCTTCATGATCTGGCCACGATCGATAGATGCAATCGACGGTCACGCTGTCGTGAGAGGTGTGACTACTAATGGCGTATTTGATCGCGTCGACATATACAATGGGAATAAGTTCTCTCACAAGAAGTTGGTTCCAATGTGCTAGAGTGTCCGTTTGGTCAGGTCCGGGCCACTTGATCCCGCGGCGATCGCTATTGACAGCAAAGAATCCATGCACATGAACTGGTAAACCCGTCCGACTCTCCTCACCAGGTGGCAGGGGGAGAAAGCAGAACACTCTACCAATGTTGTTATTCTCTGCCTCACTTGCTACATTGCTTGGTTCTGAAGAACTCACGGGAATAGCAACAGCTGCCCAAGGGAGATGACTTTGTTTCTCGGCCAAATCTGAAAGCTCTTGAGACATGCTATCACCCGCGATATGATGACTAACAACCCAGCGTTGTGCATTGGATGCCTCCGGTGTTTCGGTAGTGAATGTCACACAATCAATCAGCTTGATTGGCCCTCGGCGCCCGCTCACATCAGAGCAGTAAGTTTCTAGACGTGAAGAAAATTCCTTTCCCGGTGGATGTGTTTCTGGATCGTGTTCCCTTCGAACTCGTACAACAAGTGATGGCTCTTGCAGATCGGATCGCCTCTTTAACACCTCGATGTTATTCAAAGAGCGCAAAAACAGCATAGCAACATCAGCATCGGCTCGAAAAGCCAGGAGGAGCTCGCTTAATGTGCCTTCATCGCTGTATATTTTGTCACTTAAACTATTTGCCGCATGCCGCAGAGGAAATCTAAACAACGTGCCGTCGAAATATCCCGTCGAAATCCCTCCTGTTACTCCGGGAAATATGTTGTGGTACGGTTGAAACTGGTCTTCGTTCTTCGAGAATATGTCGCTGTCGGATCCGAGACCAAATTGCCATCCAGTTTTGACTCTACCACGCTTGTCAAAAAAATGTTCCTCTAATGGATCAATGAATGCCAGCTTTTGGTCGCTCATGATGCTCGGTAAATCTGAAAAGTAATCGAAAGGGTGATAATTATTAAGTATAAAAGTAATAAAACAATAATGCTTGCAATGCTAAAAAAGTATATAAAAGTATATGAAACAATCCAGGTGCATACCCCCCCCCCTCAATTTTTTTTTTGTGTGTGTATGTTTTGGAGGAACCACCCCCGCCCCCTCACCCCTCATTTTTTTTTTTAATTAAAAAAAAGAAAGAAAACGAGAATTTTGCTAATGGGTGACCAAAAAAAGGTGACATTACCCACCCAGCCCCCCCCCCAAAGGAACGAAATATCGATCGGCCAAATTTTCTAATTTCGGGACAATTTTTTTGCTGTTACCATCTTTTTTCAGCAGCTTTGTCTGAAAGGACCAAACTCTCCAGTAACTACTATTATCAACTACTACTATTTTGATTATGCTCTGACTTTTCAAACTCAGCAAGTATTTACTTCACCCTACAAAGATAAACCACTTTCCATTTAAAAAAAACCCGCACATTTCAATAGCCAATAGGCGCCGGAAAACAACTGCAGAGTATCAAGACATTTCCCTCAGGAGGGGCTAAACTACTCTGGTCTATAACGAAACGACTTTTAGGGGTCTTTATTTGCGGCACAGGCATGGGAAAGGGGTGGTATCACCAAAGTAAAACATTTTTAGAATATTAACAAGGTCATTATGGGAACGTGTCTATATGTTGTGTGTTTCCATTTTTTAATCTATGTATCTATTGTATCCAAGCGCTGGGATTTCATATTAGGGGGGGGGGGGCGGTAGTGAACACGCGAAGCGTGCGAATAACTTAAAGAGCGCGCGTAGCGCGCTCCCTAGGGGGTTGGTGCAGAAGGTGCGGAAGCTTTGCAAGAAGACGATTCGTTGTACCTTTCTCGACTCATAATCCTTGTCTGAATTCAGTCCGCCCCTTCTGCGCATAGCGCGGAAGCTTTGACGTATTACTAGACAAAGAAAACGATTCGTTGTACCTTTCTCGACCCTTAATCTTTAACTGTATTCAGTCCTCCTCTTTCGAAGCGCGGAAGCTTTGACGTTTCATTAAATTATTATGGAAAAAGATGATTCTTTGTTCCGTTCTCGACTCTTAATCCTTAATTTGAACTCAATTTCCTCCCCTCCCGCGCAAAGCGCGGAAACTTTGAAGTTTCATCAAATTATTAGAGAAAGAAGACGACTTGAAGTACCGTTCTCGACTCTTAATCCTTGTCTGAATTCAGCCCCCCTCCTCCTGCGCATAGCGCGGAAGCTTTGACGTATTATTAGACAAAGAAGACGATTCGTTGTACCTTTCCCGACCCTTAATCCATATCTGTATTCAGTCCCCCTCTTTCGAAGCGCGGAATCTTTGACGTTTCATTAAATTATTAGAGAAAGAAGACGATTCTTTGTTCCGTTCTCGACTCTTAATCCTTCATTTGAACTCGATTTCCCCCGTTCCGCGCGAAACGCGGAAGCTTTTACGTTTCATTAAATTATTAGAGAAAGAAGACGATTCGTTGTACCGTTCTCGCCTCCTTTCCCTTTTTCTTCCTACGTCCTCTTACTTTTTTTCTTCTCTTTCTCTTTTTTTTTTTTTTTTTGCCCGGCATTTTGTTTTATGGGGGCGACCGCCCCCACCGCCCCACCTGGCTACGCGCCTGTTGGTATCGTTCTCACCTGTTATGTGGTACACGGAATTGAATCCAATGCCGAAACGTCCAACTTTCAGGCGATCCGTTTTCTTCTTGCTGCGGGCAGGTGTCTGAATCCCATTCCAGTCGGCTTTCTTGAACTTGGCGTTGTTGAAAGAGTAAAGAGCTGGTCCCTGGTAAGGTGCTAGAGAATCTAGGTACAGCGTCTCGGTCCCATGGTGCCGTACGTCATAAAGGAATTTGACAGTATTTGCGCCGGCATCCTCGGCGTTCTGGACAAGCTCCTGCAAAGGCAAAGTAGCGTCAATTTACCAGGGCATGACTTTGTGCTCTTACAAAAAAGAGTCTATGACAATGTACACTAAACTTGTTTTCTTCATGTATCGTACCTCAAATTAATTGTAATCCACCATTCCCAACCCCTCCCTTTCCGGGATCGGCCTATGTAAGAAGTTAAGAACATTACTGACTCGTAAATTTTTGTTATAATTTTTTTGTAGTAGGTCAAAGTCTATATAAAGCCGAGACAGTTGCACTTAGTACAGGGCCGATACATATTTGTCAATACACTTAACGAGGCTTAGATCTTGAAAAATATATTATTAATAACAAGCAGAAGCTCCCTACCTACATTATTCTCTACATCATGGGCGGCGCTCCGGGAAGGGGGGGGGGTGGGGGCGGGGCGGAACAAGGGGGTACAGTGCCCCTACACTTTTTAAAGTGCCCCAAAAGTGCACTTTTTTATTTTGGATACTTTTGCCCCTTCCCCATTTTCATAAGTGCTCCTTTTTAGCTCGGATAAATGCCCCTAATCGATTCTGACAGGTACTTTTCTCCTTCGTAATAAATGCCCCTTTCCCTTTCTTATAAGTGCTCCTTTTCACCTTTGATGAGTGCCCCTTTGCAGGTGCAAGATGTGCCTCTTTTTACCTCAAATAAGTGTCCCTTTTACGTTAAACATGCCCTTTCTCCTTTTTAATAGGTGCCCCTTTTACTCTCTGATGAGTGCCCCTTTTACTTTGACACGTGTCTCTGTCATTTCTTACAAGTGCCCTTTCACCTTTTGATAAGTGCCCCTTTTTACTTTCTAATAAGTGACCATTCCCCTTCTTCTAAAGGGGGTGGGTGCCCCAAATTTCATATCTGGAGTAATCTTGAGTAATTTAATGATCCTTCTGCGAATCACATTAACGTAGTGAATGGTTTACCTTTATGATCTGGCCGTCACTATATTCCCTTAAAATGGTCTTTAAGTAGTCTACTAAAGGTGGAACGGATATCCCGAAATCATCTGGAAAAAAAGAGAAGAGAAATTGTGTAATGTTTTGGAATATAATTTTCTAATATATCCAGTCACAAGTAAACAAAAGCAACAAAAAACACATAAGAAACACAAAAGTAAACTTTTTTGTATCCCTTATTCTAGAAAATAATGTTTCGTAGAATGTTTTCGAAATTTCGGCATATAACCTGAAGAAAAAGGAAAAATGCCTCACCACTTTTTACTTTTTTTTTTTTTTTTTTTTTGGGGGGGGGGGGGCGATGGGGTACTAATTTTTGTTTTATGACAACAAACCGCAACCCCATCCCATATTCCTCACAAAACCTTTGTAGAAGAGCTGACTGGGATGAAGTTACATGTTTCTGAGTAACCTTATTCAATGCTTTTTTGGATACCTACTCGTAAGTAAAGAAAATGTATCTTTTGAATGCACTTACGCTTATTTAATTAAACCTTCCCAATATTCTTATCAAGTAATGGTCCGAAGTGCAGGTAAAATGGTCTATTGTGGTGCAATCGACGCCAATTTTTTCTGGGAATGATTTTATGCATGTGAACAGAATTCTACGTTGCAACTCTTATATTTTAATTGACATTAATAAATACATCTGTTATTATATATCATGATGACTCTCATTTGAATAATGCCCTAACAATAAAAGAAACAATAAAACAAAGTTCACCGAGATATTAGAGGTGATGTTTTGAATTCAAGAAAAACCTCTCCGCCTTTCGTTGACAATATGGACCTAACCAAGGTAGATATGTTTCATTTTACTAATCTAAAATTGATCATTTGATAAACATTTTGAATGCGTAATTCTTGAATGTGTTGAAATAAATTGTACTCACGGTCATTGTCTTCTCTCTTTGCCTGTGCATGTGAATAAAACGAAAACAAAAAGGTGAGAAAAATACAGAATAAACCAAACCATTTTTTTACAAAAAATAACATTTTCGAAACATATTTCAAAGAAGACTTGAACCACCGTTGTGTTATAGGAAAGAGAATTAAATCATTTACATTTTGATACTAATTTCAATAGAACATCGAAATTTGTTAGTGAAAAAGCATTTTGTTGATTTTTTTTCTCACAAAAAAGGAATTTTATCGACAAGATTCTTTTCCATATATCGAAATCAGATAAGTTTATTTTAATAACTTTCAAGGAATTCGCCCATCTATAAGGAAAGGTTCATCCCTCTTTTCAGTGAAAATTAGAGTCCCAAAGTTATTGACTGCTTTCTGTAGTACTGTATTGACTATTGAGAAAGCGTTTGGTGTGTTTAAATCTATTTTTAAAGATAAATTTCAATTCGATCACCATGGGTCTGTTGTCTTATGATGAAAATTTAATTACCTTTAAGTTGATATCAATTTCGTTGAGTTATGGAATGTATAAAATATAAAATAGCGGCCAAAATGTGTTGTTTGTGCTCAACTGACTTTTTATTTTTTTTTAAATCTGGGACTGTACAGTAGCTCAACGGTGACATATATTATTTACAAAGTAATGTACAGTGTTCCAATATGAGTGTTAAGTGTAATTGATAATTACTTCTTCTATACTTTGTGACGTGTCAGAAAATTTTGGGGTGATCAGTAGCCCCCCTCCTCCTCTTCATCGACTGTTCTTTGACCCCCTCCCTCCTATTGGTGGGGTTAAATAGAGTTTCAAAGGGGAAGTCCACCCTGATATCAAGCTGGCTTTTATAGCAAAAAAGTGAAAGGTACATGTCAGTGAAAGTTTGAGCAAAATCTGATTTAAAATAAGACAGTTATGAATTTTTGAAGTTGTGATCAATCAAACACAAATTGGCAACTCTGTGACGTATCTTTCGAGGTCCCCACCCATTTGCTCTGTACTGAAGAAAAAAATCATGAATTTCTATTTCTGCCCAACATAAAAATTTCCAGTCATACATGCACCATACATATAATTATTGCAACCCCTTTAACAACAAATATATTCCCTCATCAAGGCGGGATGGGAGGGGCACGACCGCCCATTTCCACATGAATACGATCGAAAGGGCCGCCGTTTCGGAAGCCCCTCCAACTTTTTTTCTCTTACCTCTAAAATATTGTGTACCATTATAAAAATCTATTGAATAAACAAGAAGTACTTACTTTGTAAAGTAGTGGAAATTAATACCAAAACTAGGCATGATATTTGACTTTGCCCCTACGCTTACTGTTATACATAAGGAAATTAATATCGATCCCGTGGGTTGTGACTTTTGTGGGTCTTCGGATCATGTGAATCCTCTGAAAAGTGGCTGGAAGGCTCACGAGATTATTATCATTATCATTATTATTATCATTACCGGTATTACTATTATTATTATTATTATGGGTATTATTATTATTATTATTATTATTAATTATAATTATATTTTACTTCATTATCATCATAGGTCTCGTGGGCTGTCGGTCTTATGTGCAAGAGCGGTTAGTGGAGCTGTCAAAACAACAGTGCCCCTTTCATCCTAACTTAATTATTGTCATTTGAACCTCGTGCAATCATATGAATCTTTTCGGGGTATTTTTTTGTTTATTTGTTTATTTCGTTTGGTTTTTAATTTTACTATTTCAGGAATAACCATGATTAGCAGGGGCAGATCCAGAATGTTGTGGGAGGGGGGGGGGGGGGTGAGGGGTGCAATTCCCCAAATCTCTGACAAGCCAATTTTTAAAAAGAAGTTTTGACAAGTAAGCAACAAACAAAAAGATCATCTTTCAGGTGCCTTTGTCGCCGAACACTTCAACTAAGCACAGTTGGGGCAGAGACCGGTTGTGCTCCTACCCCCCCCCCAATCTGATAGTAGGGCGCTTTCGCAAGCTGTATCGCCGTTATTCTCCTGTTGTCTTTGCTTCCGTCGCGTTTGCGAAAGCGCCCTAGTGTAATAATGATACCGCATGTACACATGTGTTTACAATTTTCAATTTCCTGAATAACACGACGGCATGTGATTGCGCAACGGTTCACATTGTCATCGCGTGATAATATGTTATTGCGAAATACATGCCCGTGTATTAGAATGAGTCACTTGCGATTATACAGGGCGTTTCAATACAAATTTAAAGTAATCTTTCCATTTGATAGCTTGAGTTCCTGTTTACAAGACTTTTTATCCACATTATTCTCTGTGCCTCTACAAACAGTCGGAAATTCATCATTTCGAGCCCATCCTGCTGATAGTTTAAAAACATGATGCTCTTTTTAATTTTGCCCTTACTTCTGCACAAAAAAACAAAACATATTTCTTCAATTACGCTATACACCCATTCTGGAACTGGCATCAATGATGATAAATATATAATTTGAGAATAGCCATATACTTTCAATAATTGAATTTTCCCCATTAATGTTAAATCGCGCTGCTTCCACCACGTAAAAAGTTTTTTTAATCTTGCTCAATATTTCTTTATGATTCATTTGTTCTTTGATATCTTCGTGTATTGAAAAATAAATTCCTAGTATTTTAACAATGTCAACTTGCTTCCCAAACGGAAATGTATGAGTGGATATTTGTGGACCTAAGGGCAAAATGAATGTCTTGTCCTTGTTTAACTTTAAGCCTGATATTTTTATAAAAACATTCAAAAATATGTTTAATTTCCTTAAATGAATTCGAATCTTCAATGAAAAGCGTTATATCGTCTGCGTACAGAACTTGCTTTATTTCAGTATTTTCAAAACTGATTCCTTTCATCTCATATGAGCTAAAATTTCAATATACATTGTGAAAGACTTGAACGTTGTGGAATCGATCAGAAAAGGTTGATCATCTAGCATATAAGCATTGGTGTGTACTGCAAGGTTCTGGAATCATCAAAATGATAAGAAATTTGGCCCAGTCTTGGTAAAGTTACAAGCACTGTACACAGAAAGATGTATATGGGACTACCCTATATCTATCCAGTCCGGATAGATATTATAATTTGCCAAATATATCAATCAATAGGCGGTTTCCCGGCAAAATTTGTATCATCACGTATTAGTAAAAACATATTCTTTCACATGATTGGTAATAAGAGCTTCCATTTCACTTGTTGAGAGGGGGGCGTTTAAAAAACTGGTCTATACCTTTAAATGCTTACGATTTGTTTCATGTTGTCGAAAATCATAATATTCAGTCAAAATTCCAATATGTCTTGATTCGTTTTCATTATAACGGCCCAGCGCTCACTTCCATCACCTACCTTGTCGCAACCAGACAGTTTATCATATCCGAGGGTCCTAGAAAACAGAAAGTCACCATTTTAAATTATGCAAATTTTCATTTAACCAATTTTTTTCTTTAAGAAAAAAAAAAAAAAAAAAAAAAAAAAAAAAAAAAAAAAAAAATCAGTTTTAGGTATTTTTTTTAATACCTTTTTTGTGTCTTCTTTTTTGCGTATATTGACATATTTAAAATGTGTTTTAACTTGAATTAAAAAAATATATGACATTTTCTAAAATTCTAATGTTCTTGATCCGTCAACATGGTAATAGCCCTAGTGGTCACATTCACCACAAACTTTGTGGCCAACAAGCACATACTGATGGGTCCTAAAGAAGAGAACAAAAATGTGTGCCTTTTCAGATTTTGGCCCATGGACTTATACTGCTAATATGTTGGAATTGCCATGTACGGTACATGTACAGTGTGTTTCCACTCAAAATGCGCATCCTGTAAAAAGACATCAATTCATTTGGGATTACAAAATGACTCATCCATCACATTATCTGATAATTTTTTCTTTCTGTTTGTGGCATGACAACATATATTACATGTTTAATCAAGAAAAAGAGTTTCATTGAACAGATAAATGCCGGGTGTGTCAAAAACTTTGAAATATAATTAGTTTTGATAGCCCACTATTCGGAGTAAATCACACTTTTATGTTTCATTGCACCATACATATGTAATATCCAACACTCAAATGTATATTTAACAAGTTTATTACTTCAAATCTTGTGCAAAAAATGACACTTTTAGTATTAAAAAAATGCGCGTGGCATCCACTAGTCCAAATTCTGTCCTTTTTTATGTATTTTTTAAATTCGTCAATCATCTATGAGGCTGTTCACACCGCAATGAGATAGCGCGGTCTATCGTAGCACCCCCTTTTTTCTAGCGCGCGCTAGCCCGCGCTATCTCTCGTGGACCACCCCCAAGAGGTGCTCCAGTGTTGGCTCGCCGTGGCTCGCTGTTGGGAACGGCGTGAAGTTAGAAAGATATTCGATATTCGATATTCGATATTCAAAGTGCGAATATCAAGCCAGTTTGATATTCGGATTTTCGGATATTCAAAAAATAACATTTCAATGCACATAAACATATCTGATATAAGCTTGTTTTAGGTACCCAACCCCTATTGACCGGGACCATCATCTGTTGTCTGATAGATATGAAAACAACATACATTTTTATATGAGTTTTATCCCGGTCAAAAGGGGATAAGTCACATATCTTGGCAAAAAAGATACATGTCTTACGTAAAATATTATTATTCCATACACATGCATAATTATATCGGATATATCGAGGCCTTGTTTTAGATACCCATCCCCTATTGACCGGGACCAGCATCTGTTGTCTGATAGATATGAATAAACAAACATTTTGATATGACTTTTATCCCGGTCAAAAGGGGATAAGTCACATATCTTATTTAAAAAGATACATGTCTCTCTTTTAAAATATAATTATTCCATACAGATGCATATATCGGATATATGGGCCTTTTTTAGATACCCATTCCCTATTGACCGGGACCATCATCTGTTGTCTGATAGATATGAATGCAACAAACATTTTGATATGACTTTTATCCCGGTCAAAAGGGGATAAGTCACATATCTTATCCAATTAAGATACAGGTAT